CCGGCCCTCAGTTATGTAGGGTTTAAGGTACATTAAGATCGGGCGTTACTGGTAACGCCACAAATAAGTGCTATGATGACCATAAGGGCTACTTAATAACCTACCGACTGTGTGTAGAGCGACTTTAGATCTCCTGGCAGTCGAGTGGTTGGCTTCATGATCGAGTGTCTTCGAGTCCGTAGAGTGGAATACTTCTGAGTCGATTGAAAGGTGGTTTCTTCTAGAGATGTCCTTGGAGAGGGTAGTGTGGACAGGTCCATGACCCTACCCTAGGTACATAGCTTCATCATTAGCCCCCGAATGGATCGAGGTTTGAGTGGGGAAAGAGTTGAGAACTCTTCCGACCCATTTTTCGTGCTATGAGTGAATCTTGTTCTGGATCCATGAACTTAAGCAACGACACCAACTTCTTTCGGTCGCCTTGATCCATTCTTGGTTTCAGTGGAGTGAATTTCTTCACTTGAAAAGTTCCGAGTGACGGTGTGGAGGAGATCTTCCGTCTGACAAGTTGTTCTGCTGCTCGAGGATTTTGCGGGATTCGAATTTTGGGAAGCGCGCGGGGCGGAGGAGGCCGCAGTAATCGGACGGGAAAGGGCAGAGATGCCTCGATCTCCGCGCCACCTTTTTCGCCACGTATCGCGCGCGCGACTGTTGCGGGATTTGACAGGATCGTCTGGGCCTGCAGGTCAGTCACTCGGAAGCGACTCCATATAAGCCGCTGGCCCAGAGCTTTTGAACAGTGTGCCTTCATTTTCCACCTTTCTTCTCGAATTCCTCCGCCACCTCTGCTCTCGTCTCGGTGCCGTCCTTCCGTTCGAGCTTCGTCGGCGGCGATGGTGAAGGAGAAGACGGCGGCCCTGGAGCGCGCGAAGAAGGCGACGGCGCAGGCGAAGGCGAAGAAGTCCGGCCGGGGCGGATCTTCCTCGAGGTCTGCCTTGCCGCGGGGCTGGATCCAAGGCGACTGGATGCCCTCGGCGATTCGTCAGGAAGACATTGACGATCTGGTCGAGGGGGGACTCATTCCTCACGGATTTGCGCGACTCCCGGGGAACGAGATCGAGCCGCAGCCTCTCGAGGGTGAGTGTGTCCTTATCGCCACTCACGTGGACCGCGGATTCTCCCTGCCCCCTCATCCTTTTTTCTGGAGTTTCTTAAACTTTTTCGGAGCGCAACTCCATCACTTTACTCCAAATTCCATCGCGTACCTTGCTGCCTTCATGTCTTTGTGCGAGAATTTCTTGGGTTGTCGTCCTCATTGGGGTCTCTTCAAGCACATCTTCACTTTTCGTTCTCAGTCGGTTAAGAAAGCCAAGTCGAGTGATGATAAGACGCAAGTAATTCAGATGTGCAGGGGTCTTGGGATCCAGATGAGAAGCAAAAGTTCTTTTCCAGCTATGACTCTTCCTGACTCGGTCCGCGGGTGGCAGTCGACCTGGCTCTACTGCAGAGACCAGCCGACCCCAGGACAGGCGACGGGTCTTCCCCCTTTCTCCCTGAATCGAGCAGAAAAACCTTCCTCTCTGAAAGTGACGCCGGAAGAGAAGGCGCAAGTCAAAGTGTTGGTTAGTCGAGTGGTTCAGCTTGTCCGCGATGGGGTGACTGGTATGGATTTGCTAGAGGTCTTCCTTCGGAGACGTATCCAACCGCTCCAAGCTTGTGACCATCCGATGTGGTTGTATTCGGGTCTCGATGACACCACTCGGATTCACCCGGAGGAGGTCGACGAGGCTACGTTGGAGGGGTGGTTGTCGAGTATCACAGGGAACAAAGACAACCCCCGAGGAGCCAGGAGGATTCCTTCACTCGACCAATCGTATGAAGTAGATCAGGTCCAATTCTGCATCTCTGACTGTGGTCTTGCTTTCTTCATTCTGTTTGCTTAAAATCAACCGACTGACTTTTGTCTTGTTTGTTGTCTTCTAGACCATTACTGACATGTACTCGATGCCCAACGGGGCGTAAGAACAGACCGAGGAGGATGAGGCGGAAGTGGGGAGGAGTGGCAATCTGATGGTGAGGGGGAAGAGGATGACGACGGCTCCAGTGAAGAGGAGGAGGAGGAAGTCGAACCTCCTCGCACGGAAAGGCG